CTTTTTTAAGAAAAAATTGAAATTTAGATTTGGAATTTACGCAAAATCCTATATTGATGGATCGTTTCCATGGAGCTGTTATATATAATGAGTAAGAATAGATGAACTCACTAAAGGAGAAGGTGCAGAATAAAAAGAGAAGCAAGTATGGTGCCTTCAGGGAACTCTATTTTTTTAAACAGTATATATATTAGCATTTTTATAGTCAAATATTTTTAAAAGACTAGAAAATATGGGGCAAGGGTAATGACAGAATGTGGCATGCTGAAGTTTGTTTGAATCTAATGTTGATCAATTATTTCTAGGCCATGAAAGTTTTTAATATCAAGAAGAGATGTCCTCTGTAATGGAAAAGTAATGAGTAGAGCTCATCTTTCATTTGATTTACTTTTGGAAATCTTAGAGAAATGCCCATAATCTGCAGAAACACAACAAACCATAAAATACTTCAGAAACTAAAAAAGCAAAACTGAAAATTTAGTTATTTACCTTTTGTTAAGCTGTGTACAATATATCAAATATTGCCAATTTTATTTTTATTTAACTTTTTTATTGAAAGATAGTTGACTTGCAATGTTATATTATTCTCAGGTGCACACCTTAGCAATTTGACAATTCTGTACTTTCTGCAGTGCTCCCTATAATAGCTGTACTTACCATCTGTCACCAAACACTGTTGTTACAATATTGTTGACCACATTCCCTCTGCTGTATACTTACAATCTCTGTGACTTATTTATTTACCACTGGAAGTTTGTATCTCCTAATTGCCTCTACCTATTTTGAAGAAGATGTAGAATAAAAATAGAAGTGAGTACACATCCTTCAAGGAACTCTTGACATTTAGACATGATCAGACTAACGAAATTTATTAGAGGAGGAAGAGCAGGAGCCACCAGAGAAGGGGAAGTTAGTGGTAACAGAGGGAAGAAGAAGACCCAACACATGTGGACCGTCCTTGCCATCTGGCACAACAGACCCGTTAGAAGGATGGGTCTGAGAAACTGCCCCTGGTCCAGCCAGCAGGTCATTCATGAACTTGGAGTGTGCAGGTTCAGTAGCCCAGTAGAGATGTAGTCCAGAGTGCAAAAAACTGAGGATTATAAGGGAGGGGAAGCACCATAGGTGGCTCTGTAGCCCAGCCTTTCAAGGAATCAAACCAGGAGAGGCATGCTGTGATAGTTTGGTATGAAGCAGGTACAGGTTGGGGGTGGGGGTGATGTTAGAGCAGCATTAACAATCAGGTAGAGAGTAGCTGGTTAGCCCTGAATTCCGTAAGAGCCCTTCTTTAGATGGGCTAGAAGAAAGGATGGGGAAATAGAAGATGTGATCGGAAGGCTTAAGAGTTGAGTAAGTTCACCACAGGCAGTCTGCATTTTTTCAGTCTAATAGGAGGCCGTGAAAGGAAATTCATAGACAAGCCACTCAGGCTCCTGAGGGGCTAGCTGTCAGGATTATTGGTGCAGAGGAAAATTTTGAAAGAATGACAGAAGTCTCTCATTTAAACAATACAAACTGACACATTTCCCAGGATGTGTCTCCAGGCAGGAAATTAATTTATTGAAGTGGAAAGTGGTGGTACCAAACAGAAGAGGAGAATGAAGTGAGACAAAGGAAAACTTGACTGTATTTGAAGGAGGCCTTTTTAGACAGCCAGATTTACACAAAACCACTTCCCAGGGGAAACCCGAGCACTCGGAGTGGTGAGAAACAGCTTGAGTTTGGTGAAAACCGCAGTGCCAGAGCTCGGGGAAGCACTCTGTAGAAGGGGGATGCCCAGCAGAGAGGTCTCTGCCTTAGATGCTGCTCTGGGGAAGGTCTTCTATAGTCTTTACTGTAACTGATTGTCTCTAGGTCCGTCTTTAGCTGGAAAGACAAAGGCTTGCGCTGTTTCAGCAGATGTGTTGTAGTGATGATGTGAGGTGCCTGGGGGAAAAGGGAAAAGTGATTCAGTAACTAAGAGCATGGAAGTAAAAGTCATCACCCCCATCAGTCCATAAGTGGCTCTTTTGGGGGTTACTTTGGAGGACATCTGGAGGAAGTTATCCAGGTGTGTGTAGCATTTTATTTTATTTTTTTTAAGATTTAATTTACTTACTTGAGAGAGAATGCATGAGCATGTGGTGGGGTGGGGCCTGGAGGGGCAGAGGGAGAGGTAAGAGAGAATCCCAAGCGGGCCCCACACCCAGTGTGGAGCCTATCATGGGGCTCGGTCTTACCACCCCCGAGCTCATGACTTGAGCTGAAACCAAGAATTGGACAGTCAACCACTCTGCCACCTAGGTGCCCCATGTGTAACATTTTAGGCATGATATTCTTGACTGCAGTGGTTCTCAGTGGGCCGGCCACAGAATTTGTGGAGCCCTGTGTAAAATGAAAATGTGTTTCCCCTTGTTCAAAAAGCATGAAAAAAGCAATCTTAAAGGTACTAGCATAAAAAGCTTTTCCTTCTACACTCTCTCCCTTGACTTATCCTTGTTTGCCATTTAATATTGTTCTAAGTGAAGAGAAATTAAAAATTTAAATTATTAGCATGATTTGTACTCTTTATATGGTGCAAGTCCAACGTTAAATGCAAATATGTTTATTTGACACATCTGCAGAATTACTGAAATCATACACTTCAGATTTTGTAATTTGTACGTGCATATGTGTATTGTTCTTACCAGAATGTGGAAACACTGCCCAAAGCTAACGGATTACTCTTAGTCACTTCTTGATACCTGCATTCTGTTAGTCTTTGTCTTATGGAAGGAAGGGCTGGCTTTAAGGAAGGACTGAAAGGAAAAAGAACCATGGGTTGCCCTATATTTCCTTTTCCTTCTATGCCATTATTTTCAGTGTGCAGGATAGGAGTAAGAGGATATGATAGGATTCTTTTGTTGGTTTTGTATCTTAGAAAGACATTGTTTTGTTTTTATATGCAAAGGGAGTTGTGGTTCCTTTGAATGGAAAGCATGGCTTCTGGGAGCTGTCAACACCTACCTGCTCATTTAGTTGTCTTTGTAACGTACTTACCTTGAACTAGTCTTGCTGGGCTCCCATGCCTCATGAATCCACAGAAATTCTGTGCTCTGGGTCATGGCAAACACCGTGTAAGAATGTGGCCACACATACTGAGCAGGGTCTCCTCTGCTCACATGCATGCTCCATTTCCCCATCAGACCTCACTTACAAAACACAAGTTCAAAGTTAAATTAAGAATCTCAAAATGATGACAGCAGAACATTAAACCAAGCATGGAGCCTTTCTGAGCATGGAGTCCTGTGTGCCAACACAGGTCACAAGTCCATGAGGATGGCCCTGTTCTCAGAGGTCAAAGAGTGCACATTTAAGCCTGTTTCCCTCTGGTCTTAAAGACTCCCCTTCATTGTCAAAATTTGCATTGGGTCAGGTTTGTGTCTGGTATCCTAGGGACCCTCTCCTGGCCATCAGCACTGTTATTTTTGCCTCTCATACACTTTTTGAATCACTCTCTATTACCTCCGCCATGGCCTTTGTTCACATCCCGGTCAGCGCTGATGTAGACCCTGTGATGTCTTTTTTTTTTTTTTTTTTTTTTTGACCCTATGGTGTCTTAAGTGGGATGTCTCTCCTGAGCAGATGAGGATCCCCAGATATGAGGTGATGATTGGGTCAAAGCCAGTGGCACAAGCAATGAAAGAATTCACCCGAGGCAGAACAAAGGAGGTAGAAGTTTATTGAATATACCGCAGGGGAAGGGGGCGTGGTGGACAGGACAACAGAGGAGGGTTGTCTGTAATGAGGTAGTGAGTGGGTGCTGTTTTTTAATTATTTATTTATTTATTATGTTAGTCACCATACTACTGTATGTTTTTAAAATGGGGAAATGAGGCGGTATACCGATGTGTGGAATTCTCCCATTTTTGGTAACTGCTTAATTGTAAGTAGCCCATTGGTCACTTAGGGCCTGTGGATATATATTTTTTTAAGATTTATTTATTTATTTGAGAGAGAGATTGAGAGAGTGAGCAGGGTGGGGAGGGTGGAGGCTGGAGCAGAGGGAGAGAATCCCCAAGCTGACTTCTCACTGAGCGCAGAGCCCGAGATGGGGCCCCATCTCATGACCTATGAGATCATGACCTGAGTCGAAGTCACGAGTCACACGCTTAACCGACTGCATCACCCAGGTACCCCTGGCCAGTGGATATTTTGAGGTGTCACCTGAGTGCCGGTTTGTATTCAGCCGGGGGCGGGGGGGCGCTATGGGGCCTTTCTACAGTCCATTGCTGAAGGGTCTACACATTATTCTACAGTTAGTTTCTTCCCTGTGTTCTGTGACACATTGCCGGAGAGATCTTCCAAATATCCCAGAAAGGTTTACTTGACCTTCTGTGGGCTATGGCTAATGGTAGGGTTTTTGGACTGGGGGCCCTGGGGTGGAGACTGCAGGGAGATAGGTTTGGTTTGACCTCCATGGTATTTAAAGAAATTTAGGCCAATACTTAAAGTTTGGGAGATTTCACCTAATTGAAATCCAGATTTTAAAATCAGGAAATCTGGCTACCCTGGGCTCTTGTTTCCTTGTGTTGGGCTGATGCCCTTAGAGAACAGGAGGACCTGTGGACTTGGGAAAGAACTTATTTGGATTTACTTTTAGGCATTGTTCTGGAAAATCATCACTTTTACTTGTGTAAATTTAAAGCAAGCATCTGCTTATTTCCCTCAGGGAATGCTGACCTTTTAGTCTGAGAAATTAAGTTCTCCACCTTCATAATGCTGCTACAAAGCTGTAGCAGCCCTTGGTTACTTTTTTAGAAGTATTTCTTGGGTCTAGCCTGGTCAGCGTCACTACAGGTCACCTAGAGGTCACCTGATGACCTCCTCTGGTCTTGACCTTTTTTTCCACCCTTGTCTTCCCTTGTCCTGCTGGGTTGGGGCCCAGGCTCTGCTCCTCCGGAGTGCTTTGAGTCCACTCCACCTTTTCTCCTACTCCTGGCTCTTCTCTTTGTTTGAATCCTTCCTTTTCTTTCCTCCAGGCCTGCTTGAAGCCATTCAGGAAACCTTTGCTGAGAGCCTCCATCAGAGCTCTGCCTGTAAACTCTGCTGGAAGCAGGTAATTCAATTTTTGGATTTTCAAATGCTCAAGTACCAAGGGGTAGTGGGTTCAGGGTGTTTTAGAGAGTTCATGCCAGCCCAGTGATTTTTGAGATACTCTAATCCGTCCTGTGCTGGTGCCTATATATTGCCAGGCATTTGGTATCTAGCTGTTTTTTGAAATCCTGTTTTGTGAAAAGAACTTGATTCGCACTCTTTCAGTGAATTATGAGATCAGCCCTGACATCGTTTCCATATTGCAGGTGAGGAAATAGTGTTCTTCAAAACTGGTACTCCGAATAGCTTCTCCATGGCTGTGTCTTATTCCTTCAAATAGATTATATACTTGTCGAAGGCCATGACTGTGCCTTTGTTGCCAGACTCTCATCTGGCATTATCTATAAATCTTTACGTGATGAGAGAAGTGGTTTAGGTGAATGGTGTGCACCAAGGCCGACTCAGCCAGGCTCCGTGGGGGTGGATGCATAGGGACCCAAGTAGAAAAGATGGGTGTGTATCATAAGTTACACTAGAAGATACGCCTCCACCTGTGCACCCATACAGTACCGAGTTTTGGATCTCGAGCTTTGAAGTTAGATGGGCGTCGCTGTGTCTGTTTCCTCCTTTGTAAAATTCGGGCAATGAGAGCACGTGATTTGTACCACTGGTTTTCAGCTAGGGTGATTTTGCCCTGTGGGAGTCATTTGGTGATGTCAGGAAACCTTCATGTTGCAACCGGGGATGGAGGGAGGACTGACATTTAGTGAGCAGAGTCCAGGGATGCTGCTGAACGCCCTGCAGTGCATGGAACAGAGCAAGGAATTGTAAGGAATTGCACTGACAGAAGTGCTGAAGTGGAGAAACCCTGCCTGGTAGGTTTGTGAAGACGAAGGCGGATAATGGATGCCATCTCTAAGATTGTAAAATCAGCTTTTAGGAGGGTGAACCCCAAAAGGCTCAATTTCTGCGGCATCTGTTATTCTTGCCAAGGAAAACCCTTATGATAAGGACTTCTTGCACTCCTGTTCAGAGGACTCACTGGAGAGGTTGTTTGTGTTACATTGTGTACCAACATGAGCTGGCTGGCTTTATCAGAGCTGTAAAAACAATTGTTAATTTTTAGGGTGTTCCTGATAAACTTCCTGCTTGCTTAACTAGTTTATTCTTTGGAGATAATTTTGGTGTGTGGGTTTAAATCCTCTGATGGAAAATGTTTTGGTTAATGAATTTCCAAAATATGCTTTGACAAGTGGAAGATGAAAAGTTTTTGTTTTCACATCAAGATGCCTCCTGTTTTTCTAGGCCCAGATTTAAAACAAAGCCTCTATCCCCTCAGTTTACTGCCTTACCTGCCTGCTGTACGGTTGGGTACTTGTGGGAGTGGTTTGGAGGGTTGTTGGATTTCCTTCTATTGTTGTGGGTTTACAGGGGAGATTGTTACTTACATTTTTTTGTAAATACAAGAGTGAGATGCACCTTATCGAAGATTTTGTAGTATAGGAAAACCATAAAGATGTAGTAAAAAGCAGTTATTCTACCACACAAAGACACAACTACGTTGCTGTGTTTCTGTCCATTTTAAAAATTTATATATTTTTAATAAATATATATATATTTTTATAAATTTATATATTTTACTTAGAATATTTGAAGCATTCTAAGTATATGATTTGTGTTTTACTTATCATTGTTTTATTTGCCTTTCCCCACACTACAAAAATAATTGTAAATGTTATTCCTAAGGACTGTACAATACTCTGTTTAGGGATATTTTGTGATTTATTTAATCTGATTGCAGAGCCTGTTTTCAGTATTTGATGAGCATCTTATGCAGTCATCATTTTCTTTCAGATCATTTTTATTTTTATCATAGATGACCAGAACAAAAGGATGGTCATGCATATGGGTATCTTGATTGATACTGGTATCAGTTGCCAAAAAAGTGTGTACTAATTTTTGCCACCAGTAGCAGGGTGCTATTCTCATTTTAATAATATTTGGCAATTTTCTAGGAGAAAAAATACTTCATTTTTCTGTTTTGTTTGATATTAATGAAATCAAACATGTTTATATGACTGTTGACTGCATTTCCTGTTTAACAAACTGTTCTTGAACTTTGCCCTTTTATTATTTATTATTGGGGATTTGTATTTTTCTCATTTGTCATATACTATGTATTTTACTTATTAATCCTCTTTCATCATTACTGCACATATTTTGACCTCAGTTTTTTTTTTCTCTAATTTCTATTTAGTTTATCTTTTTTGTTTTTAGTCCTATAGAATTATAAAATTTTTATGGAGTCAAATCTTGATTTTCTTTTTCACCGTCTTCAACCTTTCTTTGTACTGAAATGAACCTTCGCTGTTCTGGAGGTCACTGTATTGAATTGTCAATGTTTAAAATTCTGCTCCTACTCTGGACCACTATAGAGTTTCCTAATGGGGATGAACAGGCCTCAAGTGCTTGGTTGAATCTGGGCACCCCCTGTACCATGGAAAACCCTCCCCATCTCTGTGTGTGTGGTGGCATGGGGGGTGTGGGCGGGCATGAGTAGGGAAAGTTGATGAGAAAGGGTGAGGTTCCTGTTGGGCGGTAGCTTGTTTAGTCTGAATTTCCTTTACCACAGGATAGACGTGAACTTGCCTGAAGGCAGGAGCTTCCATCCATTCTTACCTGGCTGACTAACTGGGGCCAGCAGCTTGTTTAGTGAACTGTGGCTGTGCCGGTACAGAGCTTGCCCACAACCATTATTTTATTTCTGTAGTGCCTGAGAAGGTACACTGAGCAGAGACTGTACCCAAGCCCCCTCCATTCCTTACCCCTTAAGTTTTGATTCTCTTGGGCTCCAGGCTCTGTGTTGCTCAGACCTCATCAAGGTAATTTGCTGCCCTGTGGGTGGATTTCCCCAGGTGCTGTTCACCAGCTGAGGCTTGAAGAGGAAGGTAATAATAGCAAATACAAATAGTGCTTACTTGTTTCGAAAAGTGCCTCGACCAGGGCTTTTTTATATGCTTTTCTCCTCAACCTTAGGAGGTTAAATACTATTTTCATCTCCATTAATTTGGAGGAAACCCCCACTCAATAGAAGCACAATTAAAATCTAGAGCTTCTGACCTTAGAGCTGATCCTCTGTACTTAGGAAACAATTCCATCGTTGTAATTTCTGGTTGTGATTTCTCAGTGGTACTGCTGGGCAGAAGGTAGCAGCAACTTTGGGTTTTGGGGTCAGCCATATCTTGGGTGGAATCCCAGTAGAGTCATATCTTAACATTGTGACTTCGTGGTTTGTCCAGTCTGAGCCGTGGTTTCGTGTCTGTCAGTGGAAGAAATGGTGCCTACCTTGCAGGGATATGAGAAAGATTAAGTTGAGATTACATATACCAGATGCCTAGCACAGCACCTGGCTTACTCATTGCAGGAGCTCAGTAATGATGACTACCTAGTCTTAAAGCTAAAAATGCTACTGTTGTTTAAAAAAAAAATTTTTTTTTTTAGAATAACTGGCAAACCTGCTCAGACTTGTGAAATTTTAGTAAATATTATTTATATTTCTGTGCAAGAAATGTTTCTTTATCTGGCCTCTTTATTCTGTTGAGTAGATTTTGTTTTTTGTTACGGATGTCAGCTGCTTCTCTGAAATATTTCTGCTTGGACGACTTTGTGATGAATCCCCAGCTTAGGGCTGTACTCAGCCAAAGTAAAACATGTTTGTCTACACGTTTGTATAAAAAAGCACAGGCAGTTTTTGGGAAGGGCCATAACCTAGTCATTCCTTTACACATAGATGAGATGTTTGGCATCATTCATGTTACTTACTTGTCCCATGTATTATAAACATTCAGGTAACAAAGCAGTCTTAAAAAGAAAGTTATAGGGATGCCTGGGTGGCTCAGTCATTGAACGTCTGCCTTTGGCTCAGGTCATGATCCCAGGGTGCTGGGATGGAGTCCTGTGTTGGGCTCCTTGGTCAGTGGGAGTTGCTTCTCCCTCTGCATGCCACTCCCCCTGCTTGTGCACTTGTTCTCTCTCTCTCTCTCTCTCTTAAAAAAAAAAAAATCATAGAAAATCATGAGAGAAGAGAAGGTTGCTAAGTAACTCAGGAGAACCGTTATTAAATTTCCATTTTTCATACCATATATAAATTGAGTTGGATCTGATTAGTCCTTATGTTAGATTGTCATCCACATAAAAAGCCTCCACTAATATTATGGAAGTTATTTCTGCCTGAAGAATTTCAGCGTGAGGTTGGTCTGGCCATTTAACTTCTCCTTGTGTTTATTTAGACTTTTTCATTTTAATAAATTGAGCCAAGTAATTATAAATGTTAGCTTAGAGTTGTATTATAATCCAATGCAGCCTCATTTCTATGGAGTTGAAGATAATGCCCATTGGCAATCTTCTTTAAAATGTGTCTTGAATCTTCTTACTTTTGTCCTGAAGCCATGGTTGCATTTTCAACAATACACCATCTTAGTATTGGAAGAGGGAGAGGTTAATATGGTTGGGGCTTTATTGAGTTAATGACTAACCTTCTTGTTCTTATTCTGGGAAATTTAGATCTGTTGTCTTTCCATCTCCTACCCCTTCCCCCGACTATGGCAGGAATGGAGAAACATGGATGAGAAAGCCTCTTTTAAATGTAATTTATATAAGTTATATAAATTAGATGTATTTTTATATAATTCATGCCATATGTATATGCTTTACCTAACACATGGATACAGTTAATTATCAATGATTAAGTGAAATTTACGTGATTTCTAAGTTCCTTCTTATGTCTAGAGTTCAAGGATCAAAGTGAATGAGCTGTTGGCCAAATCTTGTGACTATTGCCAGGTGAGTGTAGGACATTGTAAAATGCCACACCCAGTTTCAGTGGTAGGAAGACAGTTGTTTTCCTAAAATTCAGGCCTAATGTTTGATTTCTTAATTTACAGTCAGAGTGGACATTTGGGGGCACAGGTGGGAGTGTTGATAACGGCGAAGAGAGTAGATTAAGCATGGAAGAATAAAATT